GACTAGATGTATTTTGTCGCCTTTTGTTGCTGTAATATTTCTGATTGTTTCGGCATCGAAATTTTGGTTAGTGGTGTTTTGTATCGCTTTGAGTGAGATGGAGTCTGTGCATATAACAAATTTCCCTTTCTGTTTTGCTGCGTATTTACAAGCTGCGAGTATGGCAGCTATTTCGCCAGGCGACTTGGAGCCATCGGAGTACAGGAATCTTCTGTCCGCCATAGTTCCTTTGAGTTCACAGAACTTTTGTTGGTAGACTATTGCTGGAGTGTCGTTTTTAAGGTTCGAGTGGAGGGAAGTGTTTATTATTTTATTTTGAAATGACCATAGGGGTTTAGGTTCTTTCGGGGTTTTAAATGGTGATATTTCTATATGTAGTTCATTGTAATAATGTATAGTGTCTATTAAGGAATAAGGTATTTTGGGTCGCCTCTTAGCTTTTTTTATTTGTTGGTAAATACTCTCTATTGGTGAGTTTTTGGCATTCATAATGGTCTTGAAATTTTTTTGTTTTGCATGAATAATTCTTATTTCTATGGGTAGTATGTTAGTCTCATATAATATGTTGTTGATTGGAGTAGTTCGATATGCGCCTATTGCTAAACGCAATGCCGAGTGATGTATTGTTTTGAGGCTGTTGATGATAGATTTGGGTGCATTACCGTATAGGTGTAAGCCAAAGTCTATTTTTGAGAGGATGATTGAGTTAATTGCTTGAATCAGTGTTGGACTTGATGCTAGATAAGCATTTTATAATGTTGTCTCTTTGACAGTTGCAATTTAAGATTTTCTATGTGCTGGTCCCATTTATAGTTCTTTGTGAATGTTAGCCCAAGTATTTTGATTGAGGTCATGTTTAGCAAGGAGAATGAGTTGGATTGAAGTTGGAAGTTGCAATTCTTTTTACGACAGATGTGGAGGTGTTTGTATTTGGCTATGGAAAGTGATGATCCAGAATAGTTGCACCATTGTAGTATGTCGCACAGAATGTTGTCGATATTAAGAGAGTGTTGTGTTCTGTGGATTTTTTTAATTATTGTGTAGTCATCTGCGTAAGCTGAAAAGTCTAGTCGTTTGTGTTTGGCTATTGTTTTATTTAGTTTGTTATATGCAATGGCGAAAAGTATGACTGATCCTTGGGGGATCCTTGTGGGATTCCGTTTTCTAGTGGTTTTTGTGTAGAGTGAAATTGGTTGGCTTGAACTATTATTTTTCTGTTGGAGAGAAAGTTAACTACATATTTTAAAACTTTTGGTCCTATTTTCCAGTTGATGAGTTCGTCGATGATTGTCGAACGCCTTAGCAAAATCTAAAGATATTATGGACAGGTGTGATTTTGTTGAGAGGGATGATGTGATCTGGTGGTCTAACATTGCTAGAGCATCGAACACGGATTTCCCCTTTCGAAATCCCATTGGATGGGTGTCGAGTAGTTTGCTGTTCGTGGCTAGCCACCATAGCCGGTTTGCAACTATTTTATCCAGTAGTTTTGCTATGCAAGAGTTAAGCGATATTGGGCAATAGGAGGTAACTAGAGTTTTGTCTGTATTTGGTTTCTGTATAGGGATGATGTTGCTTAGTTTGAATTGTTGTGGTATGTGGCCGTCAATTATATTGTTAAATAGGTTAAAGAGGCGTCTTTCTAGGTTAGGGGACAAATTTTTTAACGTTGGGTAACTAATGCGGTCTATGCCTGGTGTCTTTCCTTTAAGTTGGTTTAAAACGGGGTTTTTAGTTCGAGGATAGTGATGTCCTTTTCCAGGTTCATAGTTGAAGGAGGTTGAATATATGGTAAGTTGGTGCTTACTTGTTCTTTGTGCTGTCGGAATAATGTGGAGAAGTTACTATCTGAGGCTGAAGTGGACCAGTAGTTACAAAGAGTGTTGGCTATATCGGCAAACAATCCCCAGCTTCGATGCCAACTGTTAAAATCTCCTGTTATAATAAGTGGCTGTGGGAGGCTGCCATACATATTTCGAATGGTTTATTTGGGGGTATGTAAGACGAGACTATAGTAAATTTGATTTTAGAGTGTATTGTTACTGCTACGTTGTCAAATTCTAGAGTATTTAAATTTACTTGTTGTTGTTGTATGGAGATGTGTACTAGTAGTGCCACTCCTCCATATCCGTTTGTGGCTGTGTTCTCGTGATATAATGAGTAATTGATTGGGATGGGTATGTTTTGAACAGTGTTGTAGGGATATTATTTTGGGACAGTGTGTTTTAATTAGGATTTGTAGGTGGCTGTAGTTGTTTACATAACCGTTTAGGTTCCACTGGAGAATTTTTAGCATATTATAATGTAAAGTTTATATATTTTTGATTAGAGGGGTTACGAGTTGTTTTTATGTTTATGCTCGTTTTTGTCTTTCGATTTAAGGGGTTTGGCAAGGGTGTTTAGTTTGTTGCTCTAAATCCTGAGCTTGATGTCTTCAGTGAGTTGGGTAGAAAGTGGTTTGGCTTCTTCCTTGGATGGGGTGATGTCCATGATGGTATCAAAGGGATCGTCGTACGTGATGATGTGTCTAGCTGGCGTTGGCTTGATAAGGTTTTGGTTTTGTGCCTTGTTATGGTTGTATTGTATTTGATTTGTGCTCTGTCTCAGTGATGTAGGTGTATTAGTTGAGGATGGTGTAGTGTTTTGTGGTCTTGCCGTTTGTATTACTGCTGGTTCTGCTACTATTTTCGAGTATAATGTGGTTTGGTGAGCATGTCGGTTGTGGTACGTTTTGAGTGCAGTTTTATAGTCGACTTTTTCAATTGTTTTGATCGTTGTAATTTCTTTCTGTTTGATAAAAGTGGGGCAAGATTTATCCATGGGGCTATGGTTATTTTGTGTGTCGTACTTGCAGTTGATGCAGTATTTCTCTATATTGCAAATTGCGTTTTCAGAGGTGTGGTGCTCTTCTGAACAATTGGTGCATGCTGTGGGGCTTTTACAAGTGGTGGTGGGGTGTCCAAATTTAAGGCAATTGCGGCATACTAGTTTTGTGCGCATGTATGTAACACACAGAAGGAGGCGTGGCAGACCCCACAAAGTATATATATTCTTGATCAGGATGAGAAGACGAGTCGATATAGCTATGTCCGTCTGTCTGTATGAGCGCAAGGATCTCAGTAAGTACAAGAGCTAGGATAACCAAAATTGGTATCAAGGTTCCTATAAGCCCTAGACAGAACGAGTTTGTTTATTTTTTCTGATACACCCCCCCACTCCCCCGCAATTCGTATTTTTTCTTATAACTTCCGTAATTCTCGGAATTTAAAAATTTTGGTAGGTACATCCAGTTAGTACTAATGTGTCCGTGTGCCAAATTTCATCATGATAGGTCAATTCTGAAGAAAGTTATAGCCATAAGTAAAATCGCTGCTCATGCGCTGCCTGCAGCTCTGTCGGCAGCGCTGCCCGCAGCTGTTGTTGTTGTTGCTTTGGTTCAACTTTGTGCTGCATACATACACGCATATAAACACGCATAGGTACGTGATGTAAATGTATGCTGTTTAAACTGAACATAAACATGTATTCTAATTTAATTTAATTAATTATTTTTATTAATTAATTCATTCATTTTTTTAATAATTTAATTTTTTTTAATTTTTTTTTTTTTTTAATTTTTATACCCTGTACCCAAAGGGTACAAGGGTATATTAGTTTTGTGCGAGAGCACATGGAACACACAGAAGGAGGCTTGGTAGACCCCACAAAGTATATATATTCTTGATCAGCATGACAAGCCGAGTCGATATAGCCATGTCCGTCTGTCCGTCTGTCTGTATGAACGGAAGGATCTCCGAAAGTATAAGAGCTAGAATAACCAAACTTGGTATACAGATTCTCCTGAGACCGAGAAAGGACGAGTTTGTTCATTTTTTCTGATCCACCCCCCCACTCCCCCCCTATTAACGATTTTCTATAACTCCCGTAATTCTTGGAATGAACTTGAACTAAAATTTGGTAGTCACATTAGGTTAGTGATTATATATCCGTATACCAAGTTTCATTATGATAGAATGATCGGAAAAAAAGTTATAGCCATATAACCACGCCCAATGCACTCATACATACATATGTACAAGTACACAAACACGCATAGACACTATTCTGATGCAAAGGTAAATGTATGCCTGCATGGAATATTTCATATTTAATTTAGTTAATTAATTAAATTAATTTAGTTAATTAATTTTATTAAATTAATTAATTAATTTAATTACTTTTTTGTGGGGTGGTACAGGGTATTTAAGAGTTGAGCCTGCTCGACTTTAGCATTCCTTTCTTGTTCCTTTTTGTGGAGAGTACAGGCTATTTTACTGTCGGGCTTGCTCGACTGTAGCGTTCTATCTTGTTTTTTTTTGGCTTTTTATAGATTACTGATAAGCACTTTTTGCACTTGCAAACAGTCGGTAGTCGCACGTCTTTACTTCTCGAAGCTAAGATTGGTACTGTCTTCTAATTTAATTTAATTAATTAATTAATAAATTCCATTTTTTGTAATAATTCAATTTTTTTAATTTTCCTTTTTTTTTGTGGAGAGTACAGGCTATTTTACTGTCGGGCTTGCTCGACTGTAGAACGCTACTCTTGTTGTAATTATTCTTGGTGCCTAAATTATTCAGGGTTTCCGATGGAAAAATTGGAATTTAAAAAAACATCACGTCAACACAGCATAACCCAAACGGTCACAGCTAAGAAGCTAACATTTAAACTGAAGTATTCCTTCATATTCAGAGGGATAATTTAATTTTTGATGATTACATTTTTTGCATTTAATTAATAAAATTTTGTAAAATAATTTTTAAGTTTTGCTTTGGAACAGGATCCGCCCGACTCTAGCATTCCATTCCAGTTTAATAATTGTTTTTGTTGTTGTGTGGTCATTCCATACAGGGTATTTAGAAGTCGTTCCTCGACTGTAACTTTCCTTTCTTCTTTTATTTAATTTTATTAAAAATTTATTCCAAAAGTATTTTATAAAATTAAAAAAATGCTTTTTACAGAGGCTTTTAACGTTGGGTCTGCTCGACTTCAATATTCCTTTCTTGTTTACGGCCCTTTTAAACGCTTGCCCAATATGACCCCAACATGTACATCGCACACTTAAGCAGGTGGTTCTATGGCCTTATTATTCTTATGTATGTGATCTTGGCACAGTTAGTGAGGAGTGACGACCAAATTGGAGGTGAGTTGTTTCATAATTATTCATATTTGAACAATTGACCTTAAGCTGTTAACATAGATGACCAAATAATTGTTGTGGCTACGGCATATACTCTGAGTTTTACCCTTAAAGATGAACAAACATACCAATTCGACAAGATTTTGTGTCGCAATCGAAATGGAAACGACATAATAGCCAACGAGCAGAATGTTTGGTAGGATAATAAGGATTTATAATTTATCAATTATTACCAATTTAATTACATAAATTCACATGCAGCGATAATTTGGATCCCTGCTCCACCTACACATCTATAATAACTCTAACTAGAGAGGGCGTACTGCTGCCGGACAAGAGCATAGAATCAAAAACGGAGTACAAAGGTAAGTGCTTTTATTAATGTTAAACTTTAAGCTAATACTTGGCTGTGCGTTCACAGAGCCCACCACTGAAATCACTTCAGTAGAGTGCACAGAAAATAGTATTACACTAAAATGGCAGACAACCGATGGCATGTGCATTGAGTACTTTGGGATCTCAGCTACATCTTCTGATAACTCATATTCTACGCAGCAACTAAGAGATAGTCCCTACACCTATACCTTTGAAAATCTGAATTCCTGTCAGAACTTTGACCTTAATATTAAAACAACAGACGTACTAAGTGTTGTAGTGGGCAACGACTCAAAAGCTGCAACAACAAAGTATTCCGAGCCGGGAGATTTAACATTGAGTATTTCGAACCAGAGCAATGGAGACACTCGTATTACCTGGCCCGATGTGCAGCATAAAACTTGTATAAATATATACAAATTTGTGTGGAGGCGGGACAACTGCGATGAAGGCACAACGACATTAGTGCCTCTTAGATATAGAAAAACAGACGACACCGGAAATACTATAGTGCCTAACGTACCTAATGAGAGTACTGGTAGGTGATGATACTTCGGCCATTTTATCTTATTAAGTTACTTTTACTTTCTCTGAAGTTGAGTGCGAATGGATGGAGACTTCGCAGGATGGCAGCCTAAAGCAGTTTACGCTGATGAATTTACAAGGCTGCGAGCTACATACATTTGAGGTATTTATAAATGATAATCAGACGGCCAAATCATCAGAGAGCTTTATATCGGCAGAAAAAAGTAAGTGATATGGATAATAATAGTCATATACTATTTGGATGACAAATGACTGTCGGTTAATCAACTAATATAATTTGGATACTCTTTATCTTTCCCAAATGGGCTTTAAATAAAAAGTTAACTTTTTCCCACCATACCATTTTTTATGTTTCCAAAGGGAATTACCAAAGTTGGTATGGAATCCCCTAAGCCCTAGGTAGATAAAGTATATTAATTTTTCCCGATGCACCCCCCAATCCTCCGCTATTAATGGTTTAATTTGATTTGATTTGATTAACTACCGTTATTGCTCAAAATTGGCAAATACCTGCAGTTAGTGATGATGTGTTCGTATACCAAGTTTTATTATAATAGGTCAATTTAAAAGGAAGTTATAGCCATAAATGTAAAATGTACAGAGTATTTCAAAGTCGGAGCACCCGGCTTAAGCTTCTCCACTTGTTTTTATTTAATTTATTCAATTAATTTAATTTTTAAAAATTAATTTTGAAAACTTTTTGAATTTTTTTTTTTTTGGGAGTGGGTACAGGATATTTAAGACTCTAGCATTCCTCCCTTGTTTAATATTGTAGCATTATTTGTTCAAAGATATTTATAAAATCATTGATTCATTGAATAATTTGTACAAGATCATTTCTATAATTATTATTATTCATATTATTATAATTATGAGTTTATGGAATTATTTGAATATGCTAAAAAATCAATAGATTAACCCAGTTATTTTGTGATGCAAATCACCTTGTGCGTGGTGTCTAAGTAGAGTTATGGAGTTAAGGCCATTTGGATTTCGTACAACTGCCTGAAATAGGCTCTAAGAGACATAACGCACACATAATTTTGGTGCGTTAAGTCCTCGGGCGTTATGTCATGTGACCTGAAAATAAGCTTTAATGCACCGTTCTGCAGATACAGGTACAGGGTATTCAGTTGGGCTGGTACGAGATTATTATTATCCCTGTACCTAAAGGGTATGGAATATTTTATATTTATATCCTTCATTTCTCAAGGATTTTTGAAACAAAATAATGCAAATTGAAAATGTCTCTAGTAACTTTCTTGGACTCTTTTCTGGTACCTCCTTTATCCCACCATAAGCAATGTCCACGTCTTCTGCCAGATCTCTAATGCTAAATTTGCGGTTTTCGATCACCTTTTCTTTCAATTTATTAATGTTTTCATCAGTTTTTGATGTCGACGGCTAGGCCACTAGGTTCATCATCTCACGATCTCTTCTGAAGCGTTCATGCCACTCGTAAGCGGCCGTTTTTATACTCTGTACATGAAATGTACAAGAGTATATTAGGTTTGCGGGAGGTGAAAAATGTAACAGGCCGAAGGAGTATATACAATAATAAATAGTATATATATTCTTGATCAGGATGACGAGACGAGTCGATCTAGCCCTGTCTGTCTGTCTGTATGCGTTATGTGTGTACGCTGTGCAAGTTTGTTTTACTTTCTGGATTTTCCCCCCAACTTCCCTCCTATGGAGGTTTTCCCGATTTTCCGGAGACCATATAACCTAGGGACATCAAATTTTAGTCCAAGATGCCTTATGTGAATACGCAGAAAATGTGTATTTTGGAATTTCCCTCCCTCCCCCCTCTCCCTCACTTAACTCCCGCAATTCTTGGAATTACGAACTCAAATTTTGCAAATACCATCAGTTAGTGAGATATGTGTCTGTAGTTTCACTATGATAGACAAGAAGCTATAGCCATAAATATATTTGCTGCCTAAGCGCTGCCCGTAGCTGTTGTTGATGCTGGTGCTTTGGTTGACTGCAAACATGTTTACACAGACACGTATAGACGCGCATGGACATTCATACACTCAAATAGACGCAATTGCTTTGTATATGTGCAATTATACACTCTTTACGTGAGTTCGAATACCAAGAGAGGTAAAATCGATAAACATTTTTTTTTTATTTTTCTTAATTTATAATTATATATAAACATATGTATTTCAAAGTCGGGACACCCTAATATTTATTTGTTCTAAGAGTGCCCTTGTCGAATTAGTTTCCCAATATTTCTAAGGCTTTCCTATTCAATTTTAATGCAAAATTTAATACAAACTGTAACAACTCAAATTCGTCAAATCCATTTTAAATATACTCAAGACGTCATAACTATTACAAATGTCAATCAATGGCGATAAAATTTGGTAGGAATGTTAATGATAGATGTGGCAACGCATCAAAAAGATAAAACTCAAATCAGTTTACTGATTTTGATCAAAGTAGTACGGTGTCTTTAGCATGCTGAGAAAAGTTAAAATATGGCTTCGTTCTATAATGACTGAATCTCGGCAAAATGCTAATTAATTACTATATACATATATGTTTTCAAGGATTATGTTTTTTAAGCGGACACAGATAGTTAGATGCCGAATAAAAGTCGGAATTACAAGGTGCTTTCCAAAGTATACAGGACTTTTTGAATCTAACGCCCCCTGGTGGCGCTATCTATATGTCGACTGGTGCGTTAGAATCTGCTATCTTTATCGATTGTCCAGTGAGAATTTCATGACATTTCAAAGTGGTCGTGAGGACATAAATGACGATCAACATGTGGGCCAATCAAAATTCGTGATCCGAAAATTCCATCGAAACTGTGCGTGAATTCATCAAAAATCAGCCGAAATCATCATTGAAATTGATGGAAATGGAATTGAACATCTCCAAAACATCGATTTATCGCATTTTCACCGAACATTTGGGCTTACGAAAGGTGTGTGCACGGTTTGTTCCATACAAATTGACTGACGACCAAAAATTGCTCAGACGATCGACGCTTGTGACCGATTATTTGACCAAAAATCACATTTTAACTATTAACCACTCGCCGTATTTTCGGAAAAATGCATTTGATCATAAAAGGAAAGCGTTATTCAAAAGGCTTGCACCGGCATACCGGCGGCCATACCGGCCAATGAGCTAAAACACTCGTTCGACATTCTTTTGGATCGTGCAAAAAGCTGTATTGAAGCAAAAGGAAACTATTTTGAATTAAATAAATTGATTTTGCCGAAAAAACCATTTGTTCTGTTTTTTTTTTTTTAAAGTTTATTTTGGAAAACACCTTGTAGAAGAGTTTATCGTGGAAGAGTCTTCTAAAAACTAAAGAAAATTAATAATTTAAGTTCACATATCTTAATGTGCGTATATGAATTAGCTAATTAATAACAAGAGAGAAGACTACAGTCGAGCAAGCCCTACAGGTAAATACCCTGTACCCGCAAACTTCCGACACTGAGTTATAGCAAAAGAAAAATGAAGAAGATCGAACTGGAGGCTGCAGTTTGTGGGCGTAGTACTGGAGTGATATTGTTTCGTTAATAACTTTTCTTAGAATTGACCGATTTGGATGAAATGCAAAACAAAAGTAGATACATAATTATGCAAAGTTTGGTAGCTTTCGAAATGTGGACAGTAGTGACAAAATTCTGTATCGGAGAGGAAAAATAAAAAAAAATAAACTTGTATAGACTGGGGACTAGGAGCGTCTAAATACCAAGTTTTGTTAACACACGCGCAGCTGTTTCCAAAATCCGGGCGCTTATCCAGACAGACGGACAGACGGACGGATATTTCTGGATTGATATCTCTCGTCATGCTCATCAAGAATATATACTTTGCACAAACCTAATATTCCCTTTTTACGCTTCGGGTACAGGGTGTAAAAAGAAGCGTACCCCCTTGCCTGTATTCAATGGTAGGCGCAATAGTTATCCAAAAAGCATATGACCATATCATAACTTTTTAAGCTTTATAAAAACTTAAAACGTTTATTAGCTCCTAGCGCCATAACAAATCCTACAAACATAATAGCAGCGACAGAGCTATTTTGGCAATGGGAGGAGCCCAGTTCTAATGCGAAATGTGTGGCAAATTATAAGGTAAATCTGACTGGGCCCGCACAACGTTTGCAGTTTAACACCACTCAAAAGCTAGCCAACGACCTATTTGTGGTGTTTGAAGATTTAGATCCTTGCGGATCGTATGAAATTCAAATTGTTCCAATTTCTTTAAATGGAACCAATGGGCCGAGCTATCAGAACACCGTTGTCCTTAATGAGGACCGTAAGTATTAAACGCTTAGAAAATGGTCTTATTTATGTTTGTATCTGTATTTGTATCTGTAAATAGAACCTTCAGAAATATGGAATGCATTTTGGATAAGTGAACCGTTATCCATAGAGCTACATTGGGATACACCAAAGTATGGCGATCTCTGCATCGATAGTTATCGTACAGTCGGCTGGCTAGATGAAAACATAACTGTCGACGCATTGAGCAGGACAACTAAAGAGAACACGGTTCTCTTCGACACAGGTCTTAGTTCGTGTCAATCATACACAATACAAATAATACCGTACACGGTGCAGAAACTGGATGGTTTGCCAATACAAATGGAGATAGAAACAAAAGCGGCCATTGTAGACTCAAAAAAGATCGACTTGCAGCTGGTGAGCCGAAGCTCGCACGGCTTGAAGCTGAATGCACGTAATCAGGACAACGACAACAGTTGCCAAACATATTTTGCATACTTTAATTGCTCCACTTTGACGAATGTTCCATATAAAACCGCTGAGAGATACGTTGAGAGTCATACGCAAAGTTTAGGCTTCCAAGCCACTCTAGGACCTCTTTCTCCAGATGTAGCTTACACCTGCGATGTCATTCTGCACAATATGGCTGGTGCATCAAAATCTAAACGAATATTAGATCAACGTACCCAAGGCTATTGTAAGTATGATGATGGTTAAGCTGTTATAAATATCATGAATTCGTACAGTTCCAGAGAAGCCTCAAAATTTGGAAGTACTCAACAGAACCAGTAACAGCCTTTATTTTCGTTGGAGAGAACCTATTTACTCAAATGGTCAAATAAGGTTTTACATTGTGTATCTAATGCTTTATAAGCCCGCCTACTTTGTGCCTTCTAATTGTCCAATAATCGATGGTAAAATGAAGGATCCGATACCATTAAACAACTTAGAGACATCTTTTGATTCATTATTTCCGGCCATTGAATATAGTATGCAGGTAGCAGCGCAGAATGATTACGGTTTGGGACAATATACAGCGCCTCTGATTGCTGAGACTTTGCCTGGAGGTTATATTAATTAAAAACCCTATAGCTGAATGATAAATAATTCAAAAATTCATTCACAGTGTCCGATCCAGTTTCGGACCTAAACATTACCATAAGTGGACCCAATCCCTATAGCAACGCATATAGTGCTAATGCCACTGTGTTTTGGAATATGCCCTGTAAATCAAACGGTGTAATAGAAGCGTTTCAGGTCAAGTTTCGGGGGGAACGAAACTCCAGCCAACCGACTTACTTTATGCGTTCGGTGCCACCTGATACAAGTGGTGGTGGTCGCATGTCCTATACGGAAACAATGCTGCAGCCGGAATATAATTATACGGTCAGTGTTGCAGTTAAAACACTTGATGTGGATGAGCTGAGTGAAGGCGAATATAAAACTTTTGAAGCACCAGCGGGCAGTGAGTATAAAACAAATAAAAAAGCTAAAATCGGGTGTCCCGAATTTGAAATACTCTGTACATATGTTTAGAATTATAACAGAAATTAAAAAAATTAAGAAAATTAAAAAAAAATTTGATCGATTTTACCTCTCTCGGTATTCGAACTCACGTAAAGTGTGTATAATTTCACATTTACAAAGCGTGAGCATGTTTGCAGTCAACCAAAGCACCAGCATCAACAACAGCTGCGGACAGCGCTTGGGCAGCAAATATATGGCTATAACTTCCTATTAAATCGGTCTATCGTAGTGAAACTTGGCCAACGGACACACAATCACTAACTCGGGCTACTTTGAGTTCGAAATTCCAGGAATTACGGGAATTACAGAAAATCACGATTTGCGTGGGGGGTAGAGGGGTATCCCAAAAAACACATTTTCTGCGTATTCACATAAGGCATCTTGGACTTTAACTGACTGCACACATGTTTACACAGACACGAATAGATGCGCATAGGCATACATACACTCGCATAGACGCAATTGCTTTGTATATGTGCAATTATACACCCTTTGCGTGAGTTCGAATACCGAGAGAAGTAAAATAGATTCAATTTTTTTTTTAAATTTTCTTAATTTTTTTATTTTCTATAATTATTGTAAACATATGTACAGAGTATTTAAAAGTCAGGACACCCGACTTAAGTTTTTTTTACTTTTTTTTTAGAATACTGTACTCTACGTTTCAGTATATAACGGATATATGTGTTTTCATGTAATTGTCTTTTTTGCATTATTAGTACCAGCGCGTTTAAGTGAGGATGTAATTGGCCATATGCGTGTCAATGCTTATGAAACAAATCATCCGACAAGCTCCGCTATTGTTCGTCTACCAATTGATATAATGAGCTCTGATGCGGGTACAATCAAGTATATTGCCTTGTTGCTATCGCAAAAGAGTTGTGCCAGCGTAATGGATCTACAAAACGACACACTGGACTCCAACCAAAATTGGCCCCCAGTTAGGCCATGGGAAGCGGCTGACCAAGACGGAGACTGCATCTGCCAGTATCAAACGACGCCGGTGCGTTGGGAACCGAATATTAGCACTGCCGGTTCGCAAGAAATAACGTATACCATTGGTATTGGGAAGTGTCCTGATGAGTCTGAACCTTTTTGCAATGGGCCCCTTAAAGCGGACACGGAGTACCATTTGGTAGTGCGGTTGTTTACTAAATCTGGCTACAACGATGCGGCGTTGCTTGAGTTCAAAACAGATGCAGCCATCAAGGTTACGTTAATACTAGTAAGCGTGTGCTGTTGCCTCCTATTGGCTTTTGTGGTAGGGCTGCTAGTACTTTGGGTGCGAAAACGGATTGCTTGGTACGTTCTTAAACAACATAAAAGATATTTAATTAAAACTCTGACATGCAGGCACCGCGACTCAGGCCAAGGCATAGAAGATCCTTTTGGAAATGTTACACCCAAAAATTTTGCTATATTCTATAATGAAGTGTCAAAGCCGGAAAAATTGGCACGCGAATTTAAGGAGATAACAGTAGTCGCTCAGCTCAGTTATGCCGCTTCTGAATTGGGATGTCATAAGAATCGCTATGCAGATATTTATCCATGTGAGTTAATTCATTTAGATAACATTAAAGTATAAGCTAATGCATTGATTATTAGATGACAAGAATAGGGTGATACTGGATATTGATTCTGAGTGTTCGGGGTCCGACTACATCAATGCCTCCTTTATAGATGTAGGTTATTAAATCAACATTATATATTTCCGTTCTTAAAATGAATTTTACATTATAGGGACATACACGCAAAAAGGAATATATTGCTACGCAAGGGCCAAAGCCAGAGACAATCATGGACTTTTGGAGAATGATACTGCAATATAATGTGAGGGTTATTGTCCAAGTCACTCAATTTCGCGAGGGTAACTCAGTAAGTAAGGTAAATTAGATTTGACTGCATATCTTGATATTGATATTTTTAGATTAAATGCCACGAATACTTTCCATACACCATGCGTGGTCTAAACGTGAGAGTTAAGTCAAAAGAATCCTTTGAGCTTTATGAACGCACTGAACTTTCTGTGGTGCATGACCTTTACGGGCTTAAACAGAAAGTGATTCACTTCTACTTTAAGAAATGGCCTGATCATGGATGCCCGGAAAATCCTTTGCATCTGATTACCTTTCTACGCAAAGTAAAGGCAGAAAAACGTCCTAACTACTCACCAATTGTTGTGCACTGCAGTGCAGGCGTGGGTCGTACTGGAACTTTTATTGGTCTAGACCTAATTATGCAGCGGCTGAAAAGTGAATCGAAAATAAATATTTTCGAAACCGTCAAGAAACTGAGATTTCAACGCATGAAAATGGTGCAAACACAACAGCAGTATACTTTTCTATATTCTTGCACGTTCGAGCTGGTTAAACACAAAATTCCTCGCATTGCTCTTAAATCAGAAGGCCGCGCTAAGCATACAATAACCCCAATCACAGGAAAGAAGGTTAGTTTTCCTGACTCGGATGCATTAAATAATATTGTACCGGACCCATCTGATGCCGAACCAGGGAAGACTTTTGAACGCAGTGAAATGGAGGCTAATGCACCACCACCATTGCCTTTTTCCTCACCATTTGCCGGCATCCGGAAGGGTAATGCTCCGGAATCGTTACATCATCCCAAACACACCAAAGATGGCTAAAAGACTATTAACCATTTTTTTTTTTCGGTGAAAACAACAAAAGCTTGGTGCTGGGAATTTAAAATATTTCGTAAATGTTACATTTTCGATTTGATATATGCATATACATATATTATACATTCAAAATATTGTTTTGGTCTTTATAGAATAGCTGAACTTCTTATTAAGGCGTTCATTTCTGTACCGTTTGTTTTATAAAATTAAACAAGAAAGGAATGCTAAAGTCGAGCAGGCTGAACTCTTAAATACCACCCCACAAAAAAAGAAATTAAATTTATTAACTAAATTAATTTAATTAATTAACTAAATTAAATATAAAATATTCCATGCATGCATACATACATTTACATCAGAATCGTGCGTTATGCGTGTTTGTGTACTTGTACATTTGTATGTTTGTGTGCATTGGGCCTGGTTATATGGCTATAACTTTTTTTCCGATCATTCTATCATAATGAAACTTGGTATATGGATATATAATCACTAACTAATGTGACTACCAAATTTTAGTTCAAAATTCCAAGAATTACGGGAGTTATAGAAAATCGTTAATAGGGGGGAGTGGGGGGTGGATCAGAAAAAATGAACAAACTCGTCCTTTCTCGGGCTCAGGAGAATCTGTATACCAAGTTTGGTTATTCTAGCTCTTTTACTTTCGGAGATCCTTGCGTTCATACAGACAGACAGACAGACGGACATGGCTATATCGACTCGGCTTGTCATGCTGATCAAAAATATATATACTTTGTGGGGTCTACCAAGCCTCCTTCTGTGTGTTCCATGTGCACTCGCACAAAACTAATATACCCTTGTACCCTTTGGGTACAGGGTATAAAAACATGAACATAAATATGAAGCAGACGGGACTCAATATCATGTATTTTCGGTAGGAACAATTAATTTGTATTGCTGTACGTAATGATGTAAAGTTTAAGCTGTCGGGCTACTATACGTTTAAGGTGCCATGACATAAATAAATAATATACATGTATATGTTATTTAAAAGCAGAGAATTATATTTCCAAGAAGTAAGAATATCTTTAATTTATGTCGGGATTTTGTCTATGCGTGCCTGTGTGCAGTAATCTGCCTGGGACTTATGTCCATTTGTGTCTATGCGTGTGGGTGAATACATGTGTGTATGTGTGCAGTGCACAATTGAGCCAAAGCAGCAACAACCATAAAAGCTATGGGCAGAGCTTTCGCAGATATCACATTTAAGTCTCTAGGGAACTTATGTTAAATAAAACTAATGAATAAAAAAACCTATAGAACTTAAAAAATATTTATTATATTCCTCCGGTGGAGGAATTTTATGCCCCGATTCACAGCAGAGAGTAGTGGACCTAACAAAAAAGAAATGTAGATGAAGAAATACCAATAAACAAGAAAGGAGTGCTAAAGTCGAACAGGCTCAACTCTTAAATACCCTTTACCTCTCAGAGGTACAAAATGAAAAAAAATGTTTAATTAATTTTAAAAAATTATTTTGATTAAATTATTTAATTAAAATAAATTTAAATTATTCAATACATATAAACAAAAGTGGAGATATGTTCATGTACAGTTTTAAAAGCATACATTTACATCAGAATCGTGTCTCAGCGTGGTTATATGCACGTATGTATGCATCACAAAGTCGAACCAAAGCAGGAACAATAACATGAGCAGAGATGCTGGATAGCAAGTTTGGTCATTCTAGCTCTTGTACCTTCCTGAGATCTTAGCGCTCATACAGACGGACGGACGAACGGATGGACACGGCTATATCAACTCGGCTTGTCACCCTGATCAAAAATATATATACTTTGTGTGGTCTGCCACGGCTGCTTCTGCCTGTTACATACATTCTCACAAAACTAGTATACCATTTCACCCTTTGGGTAAATGGTATATAATTAAAATACTTAAATAATAAAAGTTAAGAGGGATATTTTAATCAGAGCATAATACTGGAAAATAAAAGAATAAAGGAATCAAGCAATCAATTTGTGGAAGAACAGAACACCAACAACTATCCTACGGTGAGCTAACGAGGGTACTTTAATAAGGAGAAGTTTACTGGAGTAGGGTGAGTAGGGAGTAGGTAAACGCAGATTAGGATCCCAGTTAGCACCACGAAGAGAAAAAGGAAGAAATTGTTCTGGACCGATTTAATGCGGTCCTGATGCAATTTATATTGAGGACACCAATAAAAATAATCTCGATAAAAATAATCTTGATACGAAAAAATGAGCTTTACATCACCGGCATACATCAGTATACGGGAATGCAACAGGATAAACGGAAGGTCGTTAATAAACAAGTGTAGCAGGCCGTTACTCTATACACTTTCGTACTTAGTTTAATAAGCATTAGTGTACACACTGAGAGCATACCCGCTCTCAGAGGTACACAAGATATAAGTAATAAAGAGAACATCACTTTTTGATCGTTCCTTGTGCAAGACAGTTGTGTGAAGTGCTTTGTGTATAAATACTTACATACATATACATATATTTAAAGACCTGACTTTACTACTAAAATCTCAGAAGTGGGATAGTAACGCGCTATGAACACTACAATTGATGTAAACACATTTTCAACCCAGATCTTAAAAAATTGGTTAAACGCCTTGGGTAAATCAACAATGGGCTCAAAAGCAGAGCTGGTCGCCCGACTCAACCATATTGAAAATCGTGGCGCTTACCCTAAGGAGCCCCAAGCCCAAAATATGGATGACAATTTTTCACCCAGAAATTCTGAACTTAATGAACAACAATGTGAAATTGCCAAAGACGAATTGCGCCCCGACGCCAATAGTTCGCAACAATGTGGGCAGGGCAACAACAATTCCCACGAAAATCATAACGGGACCAACATTCCGACGCAAAACGAACAACAGCGGGCCCTCAGCAACAGCGACGGCGCCGATCACGATGCCAGCAACAGAAGCGAATCGGCAGAAGCAATGCAAGACGAAAAAAGATAATTGTTACAGTTACGTGCCGAATTAGAAGCAACACAGGCAAAGTTTCGTTTACTTGAGTTAGAGCTGCGAGCAAAATTATTCGACGATGATGGCAGCGCCGTTGCTGCCGAACACTCTTATGCTCTCTTAAAACCAAAACCAATTGAGAGCGAAGAGAACAAATTTACTCCGTTGCACAGTTTTACGTTCGCAAAAGAGATAGTGGTGGACTTCGACGACAAGTCATGCGTGCGTGCCTGGATCACACAAATAAAAAATATTGCACGCGCGTACAATATTAACGACAACTATTTACGCATGTTGGCCATATCTAAGTTAAAAGGCGCTGCTCAAGTCTGGCTACATGCAAGCCCGGCGCGGATGTTAGAGTCTCTCGACGATTTATTTGCCCAATTGACTTTGGCATTCGGAGGAAAAATATCAAAGGTCGACATCAGACGAAAGTTCGAGGCTCGCAAATGGAAAGTAGAAGAAAATTTGTCCTCCTATTTTGATGACAAGATGACTCTTTAACGAGAAATAAATGATGATGAGCTGCTGGATCAGATGATCGAAGGAATTCCGTTGGAAAGCCTGCGTGTTCAGGAGCGCATCCAATGCTTTTCCGACCCAACGCACATGCTACGGGCCTTTGCCAATGTGCGTCTACCATTTCGACCAAAATTGAGTGATGGCCCAGAGAACAAGTACGAAGACAATGTTCGCTGTAAAAACTGCAACTGCAGAGGCCACTTCGCCAATGTCTGCAAGAAAGCCAAACGCGAACGAGGCTCATGCTATGCTTGTAGCAAATTTGGTCACCTGGTTGCACAGTGCCCTGAGAGGAAGAGCGTCGTCAAAAACAATTATGTAAGATATTTTAAAATTTTCTTCAATAACCCTGATAATGTTATGCCATTGATTTCAGAATGCCTAATAGACTCAGGAAGCCCTGTCTCGTTAATTAAGATTTCACTTATCCACGAAAAAAATTATCTTGAATTCAGTTAACGATTTATATTTTGGCATGAATACAAGCCACATTAAAACATGTGGAAAAACACAATGTTATGTATTAAAAGGAACAATAAAAATTTATTTTCATTTAATTATGGTGGCTTCTGAGTCTATGGGGTATAATGTTGTCCTAAAAAAGCTAAAGTCGGGTGTCACGACTTTGAAATACTCTGTACATATGTTTACAAAATAAAACAAACTCGTATAGAATACACATAAGGCATCTTTGTGGAATTTGGTGTCTCTATCTCTTATAGTCTCTGAGATCCAGGTGTTCATACGGACGGTCAGACGGACAGACAGACAGACAGGGCTAGATCGACTCGTCTCGTCATGCTGATCAAGAATATATATACTTTGTGGGGTCTGCCACGCCTCCTTCTACCTGTTACATTTTTCAGCTCCTGCAAACCTAATATACTTCTGTACATTTCATGTACAGAGTATAAAAAGAAAACAGGTGACTTGCGAATGTGTGTAGATTTTAGAAAACTAAACAAAATTACACTGAAAGATAATTATCCCTTACCACTGATAGATGACCTGTTAGACAAATTGGTAGATAAATCGGTGTTCACAAAGCTTGACCTCAAAAATGGGTTCTTCCATGTGTTTGTCAACCAAGAAACAGTCAAATACACTTCCTTTGTCACACCATTAGGCCAGTACGAATCGTTAAGAATGCCAGTTGACCTTAAAAATGCGCCTTCTGTATTTCAACGATTTGTTAACAAAATTTTCTACGGCATGATTAGAGAAAACAAGGTCATCGTATACATAGACGATATTTTAATAGCAAACAAAAATATGTATTACCGAACATTTAGATACCCACAAAGAAGTTTTTAAACGGTTAGTTGAAAACAAACTTGAGCTTCGAATAGACAAATGCGAGTTCTTGCAACCAAGTGTCAAATACTTAGGCTTCCTAATAACAAACGACGGAGTAAAAGCCAATGATAAAGGAGTCGAGGCCATTCGAAATTTTCCAATGCCAACAAACGTTAATGCGGTACAAAGCTTTTTGGGCCTTTGTTCATATTTCAGAAGGTTTATAAAAGATTTTTCTACCGTTGCTAAGCCTTTATACGATATTCTAAAGAAAGATAGACTTTTCCGATTTGGCCTCGATGAAATCAATTGTTTTAAATTGTTGAAA